TGTTTTGGTTGAATGTTAAATTTATTTGCCGCAGAACGTACACTACATACCTTCTCCTGATATAAGATTATTCTAAAGCATTCCAACTTCGGCGCTTTTTCTCAGTTATGGTAGCTCTCTTCACACACTTGTTTCCACGAGGCGCCATCGCGTTAACTACGAAGTAAAGATAAATTCTGATGAACGTTAATATGATAAAATTGACCAATCACATCACTCTGTGAAGGAATTTCAAAGTACCCTCCCCCTCCTCCGTACATAGTACCCCGGGCACATCCCCCCGGGTACAATTCAAAAATTTGAGATGTTCTAGATATGTACCCGGGGTACTATATTCAGTGCTCTACGGTAGTATGAGAAAGAACTATAATTTTTTTTGTTTTTTTCCAAAAATTACTTTCAAGTTTTCCCATTTCTTGCTTAATATCAAACTTTCTTAACGTAAAAAAAATGAGCACTTTTACTGCTGAACAGTCTACGTCTGCATCACGTGCCGCGTCACAGCCAGGTGAAGCATATTTCAACAACGTCCCGGCTGCAGAATGAAGTATTTGAAGAGGAAGAGAAGCAGTACGGTGCAGAAATCTCTGAACTATGTGAGAGAGTATGCGTATTATGAAGCAAAAATCAACGCGGAACATGATACGCCATTAAGAGAAAAGCTTGTTGCCGAATTTGAGGTAATAAATCCTACCTTCAATTATTGTTGGAATACAGTACTGGTCATAAGTACCCGATGGCCCTATTTCGGGGCACGAATGAGAAAATGGTTTGGAAATTCCCAGCGTACAGGTATAATAGCTCGATCAGATGTCTCCAGCAAATTTCCCAAACGTTTTTGTAATAACATTAAAAACGTATCAAATTGTGTGTCGCTTATTCAGTGCAAAAATCCGTATTAATATCTCCGTACGCTTTTAATTAATTGCATAATTCTTTTTTCTGTTCTGCTTGTCAAATATTCGAGTCTATACGTTTCTTGAATGTTAATATATAGTCTGAATTGAATGGAAATTGGTAATCAACGTGCAAAATATTATTCAATCGCACGATCGTTCGCACTCTACAGTAGAAATCACATAGTCTTTCGGTTAACAATTATATGAACGCATTCTAATTCTGATGACGCATAAAAAATCTTTGTTAGAACGAAGCATTGGGATAAAAACCTCCTCACTCACTTCGGGTGGTTAGAAAGTAATACTGCTTTAAAATAAAAGTAAGATAACATCTTGTTTTGTGCTAAATTTTGATTATATTGATGTTATCAAGTAATCGGCTTCTTTTTTTTTTTTGCTTTGTCTAACGTCATATTTAAAGCTCGGAAAACCGATAGCAGTTGAATATTTCAAAGCTGATGACTGGCTGAAGACGTCGTACATACGGTCACGTTACTGTAAAGTCAGTATTAGTTTCGTTTTTGATAGATCGGCCCCAAATTTAGGTTGCGTTTTTGATATATCCGCAGTAAAGTCATGTTTCACTGATAACCTGAGGTTTATCCGTTGCAGTATTAGTGACTATATTCTAATCGATCCATGATGTCAGACGTAT